ACGCTCTTTGTGCTGATCATGGCGCAAACGGAAGTTTTCAGATTCAGAAATTGAGTGCATAAGCTCTTGAATCCGCCCTGAGAGGTGTGCTCGTTCTGCTTCAACCTCTTCAAGCTGGCGGGCCTTTTCTTCAAGGTCCTTCCGTGAACTTGCCATGCGCTCCTCGGCTTGGCTCATGATCTTTCGTTCGATCTCGGCCTCAGCATTCATGCGGGCAGTTTCGGCGTCCGTAAATCTCTCGCGCAGCTTGATCAATTCGTTCTGCAGCTCTTTCCTTGTTGTTTCCGCCGCAACTCGCGCCTCCGTAGCGCGACGCAGACTATCTTGCTGGATGTACATCTCTTTCTCGATAGTAATCTTAGAGTCGTTGAGCGTCTCATATTTCTGAGTCAACTGTGCAAGATTGTGCTCGGAAAGCATTTGCACGTCGTCTCGTGACTGGCGTTCTCGGCTGAGGTCAGCTTGAGCCTGGAAGAGCTGGCTCTTAAGATCGTTTATCTGTTCCTCTAGCAACTTCCTGCTTTCTCCAGCCTCGGCATCCTCGGATCGCTTGTTCTCAAGCAGATTCTTGAGGTCTGCAGCTTCACGTTGAAGTTGTGCCTGTTCAGAGCGCATGGCATCTCTCTCAGCTTGGACCTCACGGAGTCTAGATTGCATATTGTCATGGCGTGACGAAAGAGAATTCTTTTCTGACTCAAAGCTTCTCTTTTCTTCCTCGTACTTCTGAACGTCATTTCGAAGAACTGCGATCTCGCTCTCCTTTCGACGAAGCAGATCTTCGTAGTTCGTGGAAGTACTCGAGAGTTCGGAAATCTGATCACGAATTGACTTGTTCTCTTCAGAGATATCGCGGATTTGTTTCTTAGATTTCTCGAGCTCTTTAGAAGTGTTTGCCAGCTTGATATCAAGGTCATGGTCGGTTTTCAACAATTTGGCTTCTAGATCTTGGAGCTTACGATCTTTCAAGCTGAGGTGGCTTTGAAGCATCTTAATCTCCTGGTCGAGTTCTTGGATTTGGGCATTCTTTTCGGAGGACTGGGTCTCCGTTTCCGAGAGCTTGCTATTAATCTCCTTGACTTGAGATTGCAGACTGTTCTTTTCTGACTCGAGTTGCTGAATGATCAACCCGGCCTGTTCAAGCTGGGTGATCCTAAGTTGCAGCTGGTCATCAATCCTTCTCTTCGCATCGACTAATTCATCGAGTTGCTCTTCAAGGCCTTCTTGGTCGGCGATTGCACCGGCGAGCTTGTCGGCGAGCTCCACTTCTCGGTCTTGCAGTCGCTTGAAAATCTCTTCTTTGTCCAATGCAAGTGCACGCTCACTTTCCAAAGTATGTTGGATCTTCTGAATCTCTATTTCCGTCCGACGTCTCTCTTCATCCAGCTTGTTACGATCAGCAAGATCCTGTTTCATCTTGGCTTCGAGTTGTTGGATTTTATCGTCACGCTTTTTAACTTCTTTCGCATTTCTCGTGTCGCCCAGTAGGGGCTTCATTCTTGAGAACATGCGCCACCACGGGTTCCCCTTCAGGTCCAGGTAAGCGTGGAAGTTCTGTTGAATAATCCTCGTTGCCTCGGCGCGGTAGAGTCGCTTGTTGGAAATGCGGCGCTGAACAAATCCTCGAGCCACAGACTGGAACTTGGACATGATAGTTCGGATGAGTTGGTCGCGTTTTTCTTCTAGATCAGCCAGAACACCTGCTCTGAAGAAGACTTTGGTGCGACCAACCCGGTACCATGCCCGATCCATGCCGAGCCTTTCTAGCATAGTGCGAGCAACACTCTGTCCCTCCAAGTACCCCTTCGGCATGTTCTGGCAAAGGACCTCATAACGCTGTCGGAACTCCGTGAATGGCAAGCGGTTCGGGAATCCAGTACGAGCAATTCTGATGCCTTCCAGGACACCATTGCATCGCAGTTGATCTAAAACCAATGGAGCGTGCAGCATCTTTGGACGCTTCTTATGATTAGGTAGGATACAACGGACGAAATGAGGGTGGGTCGAGTGGAGCTGAGCCATCAAACTAGATAGCTGTTCCTTGTGTCTTTGGGCGACTGTGCGGAATAAGCCCTTCTTAACACGGCTTCTGGGATGGCTGCCACCACCATCCTCCTCCAAGTCCGCACAATCGGAAAACAGATGTGCTACGTGCGGTTCCTTTGATGCAGCCAAGAGACGTGTGATATTGTCGTTGAGCGGATCCTTGTTCTTCTCAAGCCAATCACTCGTGTTGTACTCGACTTCGGCAGCATAGTGGGTCAGAATGAAGCCCTGGTTGAGGCGAGATGCGCGGTACTTTGGAGTCTTGCGGTCCCAAAGGCCATGGAGCTTTTCCGTGAATGATTTGTCTGTCGCCTTCGGCATCACACAATCCTCATCAAGACAAGAGAAAATACCAATGGGGTTGGTCATTTCGATGAGGTCAATTGTCGGCTGCAGGTCCTTCCCGAAGTCGATGAATTGCCACTCAATCTGCTCCCTCGCATACTCTTCTTGCTCAAGAACAAACATATGATGGTTAAAGAATTGCTGAAGCTTCTCGTTTGTGTAGTTGATGCACAGTTGCTCGAAACTGTTGTTTTCGAAAATCTCAAATCCAGCAATATCAAGGACCCCTATGAAATAGTTGTCATCACTGGCCATCGAGCGACCAAGCTGGCCGTTGATTCTGGCGACAAGATTTCCAAATCCACGCTCGTAGATACCCTTTGAGAGGGCATCTAGGGCCATACGGACCTGGTCTGGTGTCTGGACTTTCTCCACCCATTCCCGGCCAGCCTTGACCCGTGGATGCAGGAGGCCCTTCACAAAAGCCTCGGCCTCAATGCCAAGAAGGTAGCAGGCCTTTTCCACGTTAGGGTATCCCTCAGGCACCAAGGTTGCCTGGTCTGCGCGCACACTCGCTTTCGCAACAGCCACATTTCCCAGGTGCAGGACAGCGGCGATGGTCCGCAGGATACAGAGCTGATCCTCTTCGTTGAAGTCCATCACATGGAAGGCTTCAATCAACGAGTTCCATTCTTCCTGGTCCGAGACGCCGACGATAGAGTCATTTCCATCTCTCGTATAAGCGAAGTCCTCGATCTGAAGGTCCGCTAGAAGGAGCTTGTCGCGTGTTTTGCGGTCTGCGCCCTGGAGAAGCTGGTAGAAGACGTGATAGTTTCTCTCGTTGGGGTTAGGCTTGACGACTCTTGATTTCTCCAGCAAATACCAATCGATCCAAGCTCCAGAAATTTGGCCTGCCCGCGAAAATTCAATGCGAATAAACTTTCCGAACCGGGAGGAGTTGTGGTTTCGGACCGTTTGGGCATTGCCGAAGGCTTCAAGAATAGGGTTGGCTCGTAGAATCTGTTGCGAAAGTCCAGTGATTTGCTTCGCTCCAGACCGGCCATAAGGCGTATCAGAAGTGGCGACAGCAGCCAGATACTGGATAACCTTCTTCGTATTTTCTGTTTTACCTGCACCAGACTCTCCTGTTACAAGAATGCTCTGATTCTGGCCCTCCTCGACAAGATTCCGGAAGGCCTCATCAGCCATAGCAAAAATATGGGGTCTAGTCTCCTCTCTCCCGCGACCCTTGTACATTTTGATGTACTCGTTGGTGTAGATCGGTAGTGGACAGTACGGGTTGATTGTTACCAGGAAAAGTCCCGAATAAGTCTATGAAGCCAGTAAGTCAGTTACACTCACCGATTTTTGCATGGTTCCGGGTTTGACGAACATAGATTAGATCTGACTGATATCTGGTGTGCAGATTATGCACCACAGACGCCTCGTTTAGATGTGTGAGTTCCGCCATATCATCTGCCTTGTCAAACTTGGCGGGATTCACTTTGTCGACCTGGTCCGCATCTACTTCTCTTTGCTATTCCGATGTCAGCACATTGTATCTTCGTGATGGGATTAGATCCATACGTCGCCATCGTCGGTCTGCACCAATAGACGTCCTCCTTCAGATTCCTCCAAAACCAGTCCCCGCACAAATGCCTTCTGAGGATCTCGTAGCCACACATATTTGTTCCCTGAAAAGTCATTTTCTCCTTCGAGTCCACGAATCTGATCCGCTCCTCGTCGTAGTTCCTCGGATTTGATGAAACTTGGGGCAAATGTGCCGGAGGAAGGACTGTTCTTTGCAGAGTTCGATCGCTCGCGACTTCCACTTATTGATAATGTTGGCGACAGCTGCGATACCGATGAGTTGCGCAGATGACCTCTCACTGAGTCTAGACCATGCGATGGTGTGCTAATGGCCGATTTCGGCCTCGCCTGTGGTAAATGTGTTCCTTGAGAAGGTGATGGGCGTGCAAATAGACTGGCGCGCTTGGGCGAGCCGTTTAATTGGGAGGGAAGCATGACGATTGTAGTTCAATAGGACATTATTTGCGCGCAGTAGTCGTTATCATAACCAAGATTATTTCCGCAATCTCAGTCGTAAGTGTAGAGGAGATGAGTGTTCGGGCATTCAATGCAAAGGAAATCAAGTAGAATACAGTTAATAGAGGTGTGAAGTTGGCAAAAAGTTGGAAGAAAAGGCAAGATGTTCGAAGTGACGCACCCCAATATCCATGATGTTTGTTTACTCTACGTTCCTCGGGCGCCCGCCGATCCACAGATGGCCCGTGCGTATATATCACGTGAGATACTCGATCATTTTTGTCAAAGGCGCTTAGACCATATAGGAGACCGCGTATCTTCTCGAGTTCAACAGCCTTATCCATCTCTCTCTCTTTCTCTAAGCTGGAATCCACAGTCGCATGGCCATTCGTTGTTCCTATATCGCCATCAAATCATTATCACTCCTCAAGGGGACTCCTAAATTCGAATTCTGCGTATCCTTCCCCCCAAAGACCTCTCCACCTGCTTAATCCTTCCAAGAGATTGATCCTTCCAATACACCATGAGATTTGGTCTTTGAAATCGCAGCCTCTCTTCAGCTACAACATTTCGCTTTTGAGAATCGTAGAGAATATATCTCTTCCATCTCCGCACACGACATCATCATGTCTGACCAACCTCGCTCGTACGGTGGCCATCCGAAATACGCACAACAATGGCCTCCTGTATATCCCTCGATGATCCCTCCGAACTATCCAGTCAGTTTGGACTATTCTCAAATGAATCATCAACCGGCAACAAATCCCGGGCCGACCTTTGACTATAATATGGCAAGCGTCAACGCGAATTCGCGAATCCCAGGTTCAAGTGGTCCTGGAAACTCAGCATTCGTTCCGCCTCAGTTCCCCTTCTTCAATCACTTCGACGCATCACAGTTTCCACCACCTTTCCCTCCAATGCCGTTTGCTCCGATGGCATATCCCCCAATGCCAGCAGGATCTTCAAATGCTCCCATTCCGTACCAGGGTATAGACGGGCATGGCTCACGCCAACTATCAACGCCAGCTGTACATCTGGAAGATGTTTCACCTCATGCAGATACTCACCGTGAGGAGGGCGAGGTCAGTGAGGAGTCGGACGAAAGGTCACTACAGCGGACGCATAAGGCTTCGCGCCAGGATTTAGACCTAGAAGAAGGAGAAACCATATCTTCTAGCGCACAGTCCGCTAGAAGTAGTGGCTCACGTATTACTCCCACACTTCCCTATGTGTCATTCTGTCTTACTAACATCACGCAGCATACAACCCTCCTTTGTCAGTTACAGCAGATCCAAGCATGGTCCACCATGCGATGCAGTCCCAGCGGCAGGACCCACCTGTAACTGCCCCAGCCCCTCCTCCTCAGAAATCGGCCGCGCAGCTGCGAACTCAAGCCCAGGGTGCTTTGCTTAGCCTGGCACCCCATAATATCCGCTTCAACGAACTGGTCGCAGAAGGTATCAACCCTATAATCCTGAAACGCCTTTACGAAGAAGTCGGTATCAAGGTCGCCACATCACCTAAGCAAGGTCCACCAGTTCGCCAGAAGGTATCTGCCGTGGCTACAGTTGCTGGCAAGGGACTAGGATCTAGCAAACCAGCTGAGGTTACCAAGATGACCAAGGAGAATCACAGCAACACGAAGTTGGATTTACCGGTGTCTCAACCTTCCGCCCAACCGGCCGCACCTTCATCCAAAGCTGGCAAGCCTCTGGAACGAAAGGAACTTATCGCTCGGATGCTGGCTGAGAAAGCTGCGAAGGCGACATCCAAAGAGACTTCACCTACTGGCAGTGCGAAGTCTACCCCTCCTGCGATACCAGTTGACGAACCCCGTCCGGCTCAAAAGGAAACTACCGTAAAGGAGAAGAGTAAAGCCCAGACGGAGTTGGCAAGGCAGCGAATTGAGGAACTCAAAAGAAAGACTTTACTGAAGACCCAGAAATTGGCTCAAGCAAATCTGCCGCCGACCCAGTTAGAATCTCCGGCGCCAGCTATTCAACATCCACTTCCTCTTCGACCTCCTATGCCTGAATCTCGTCACTCTTCTGGGCTTCCAGGACTTCTCATGACTGGATTGGAGCAGGAGTCACATGAAACTCCTCCCTCTGAGCCAGTACAAGTTATCGATGTTGATTCAACACCGACATCTCGGGCAACGCAACGCAAGCGGCCTCGGGCTTCCGATTTCGATGAGCCAGTTGCACCTCCGAAGAAGCATTTTAACCCAGCTGCGACTCGGTTCGACCCTACCGATAAACTTATCATTGCCATCAGCGACGATGAGTCACTCTATGGCGATGATGAGGACGACAACATGGAGTTGGATTCGAGCCCAGAACAGGAACCAGTGCCGATAGTGAGTTCCGCCACTGTTCAGCCTCCTGTTCAATCAAATCTTCCTGCAACCCGGGCTTCGACATCCACACCACAAGCCCCTTCCAGTCTCAGTGATCAAGGAGACATTCGACTTAAAGATATGGAAATTCAAGCTATGCGCCGCAAGATTGCGGAGCTGGAACTACGAAGGAAATCCAAGCTCGCTGCCAGCCGAACCCAGTCACCTCGCACGCTGGATGACTCCGGGGCATCATCATCCGGTAGGCCATCCAGTGTCGTCGCAGCTACTTCCGAAGAAGGTAAAATTCTTATTATCTCCTGTCTCCCATTCCATCTCTCTTACTGGGACATATTCATTCTCAAGTATGTTCGAGATAAATTCTACAATTCAACTAACCATCACCCAGATTCTTTGAAGACTAAACCGACGACGGCGCCCCCTCCTACGCTCATTCCGAGCCCCCGTGGCCAACTAGAAGCACTAGCCGAAGGCACTAGCACCCGAGAATCGCTTGAAGAATCCCATGCTGATGATGTGGCAAACGATGCAATCGAGCGCACCGCACAGACATCGGCTTCAATTGAGTCCGATTCTGCTGGGTCGGCTATGCAAGAATCTGATGACAGTAGTAGTGACAGTTCCGATTCGTCTAGCGAGAGTGAAGACGAACCTACTAGCTCGCCAGTGCAAGCCCATGCCGACTCTGCTATTGTGTCGTCATTCTCAGAGCATATGGAGATTGACTCTTCGGAGCGATCTGCGTCTCGGAGCTCCCCCTCCGCCATCACCCATCCTAGTGCAACGTCTGCCGACGAATACGTTTCCCAACATCGCCCTAGCGAGCAGTCTCAGCGCGAATTGTCTACGGAGTCCGACGGTTATGAGCCCCCAGAGCCTGATACTGAAGCTCAGTCTGAAGGCTCGAGTTACAGCCCTCCTCCATTCAGCCCAGCTCTTTCCGGTCTTGTAGAAAACACAGCAGGCTCGGCACCATCATTTGACTTAACTCAAGCTGATGAAGAACTAACCAACACGCCTCAGGTGTCAGACCCATTACCTCGGTCGGATTTGCAGGTTGGCGCTCCTGGCGTATGAACAATACCCTTGTCAGAGGAAGCTTCTGGTGACCACATACTAACCCCTATCTAGACTGAAACATCACCCACCACTTCGGAGCAAAAATTCACGCCGTATACTAGCCCACTGCGAACTTTCAAGGCTTATCGCTACCACCCGCATTATACCGAAGATATTCCGAGTGGCTACCGCTCGCTAACTTACAGTCATAATATTGATTCCATGAAGTACATGTGTCCATATGAGTTAGCCGGAGGTGTCTGCAATGACCGATCCTGCGAGTTTCAGCATCTTCGGGACATGACTCTAAGCGGTGCGTCGACATGAACAACGTGCAACACCCCACCTCGTTCTCGAAATTCCCCAACGGCGTATTGCACTATCTAGTCTGTTTTTACTTTCTGTTTATTGCTCTACTGCCTTCGTCTCTCCCTCTACTTCCTTTCCATTCAACTCATTTGTCATCTCTTTATTACCCTGTTCGAATGCTGACCACAGAGCCGTTAACCTCGACAGACGACAAAATTCTCGTCCAGATGGGCTCCGTCCGAGAGGGCCAAACCGAGGAAGAAAAAGAAAAATATCTTGCTGGTCTGAAAGAGATCATCAACGATTTACGGCGTGACAAGGTGAAAGATTTCAACACTGTGGCATCAGAGATAGCCGCATACCGTAGGCGCTTCCTCCAAGACCCGTCGCGTGTCTTGTCCCTGTAACATTCTCCCTCATTCATTGGACCCTTTAGGAGTCCTCTCCAGGTGAGCTGTCTTCCATCAGTCTTGTGAACACCACCATCGAAGTTCTTTCGATGGCGGGGGAAAAACATCATCACACCACATGGACTCAGACAATCCTCGCCATGGCCATGACGCCATCCATCTTTCCAAACGATATCCCATGCCGCCTCTTTTCAGGGCTTTCGCGTTCATGACCTGGCTTTTCCTCTGCATCATTAGCCAATTCGGCGTTTTCTTTCTTGCATTCCAATTGCATTTGATTTGCGTGATTGGGGGCCTCGCGCTCCTTGGGGCCACCTTTTTTCTCCTTTTTTTTTTTGAATCTAGGCTCTGGGCCTTTGATGATCCCCGACGCAACGGTGTTGGGGCGTCTGCATCTCAGCTGGTCGTAACTTTGGCAATTTCGGCGCTTTCAGTTCTGAGGGAGCTCTGGCTGCTAATCTGCACATCGAAGGGTGCGGTTGTACCATTAGAATCTCGGCGGATTTTCGCAGAACATATTCATAGCAATCAGTCAATATGTATTTTTTTATTCTATCCAACCATTACTCTTTCTCTATCATTGGTAGTAATAAAATAACCACCAATCACTTTGCCATTATATGGCTTGGATTATGCATAATTTCTTGAGTCAATGGATCCATCTGACCACCAACCTCAAAAGAAAAACACGCTAAAAACTATTGACTCATTCATACGTAGCCAAAAGAAGATCAGGAAATAAAATACAAAATATTCTCGGTGAAGTACTATCTGTAAAAGGCTTAGTCCAACCCCCACAGTAATCCAAGCATGCTACATACTATGTAGATATATATTTTCAGCCGCGCACCAACCGAGCTGAGAAATGTAGCTAGAAATGAGATTGAATTTAAAAAAACAAGTCCAGACCCAGAAAAAAAGACCTACATATTCCTAGAACATCAAAAAGTAAGATGTGGGTTCCTGCGGTTGCTAAATGCTAAGTATAGCGTGCAGAGTCTGGTCAGCGAGATTGGGGGCCAGGGCTCGTGCGACTGTGTCAAGATAATTCAAGGATTCCAAGATAATAATAGTATAGTTAATAGAGTGTATATGGTGAGCTCGGTAATTTTAAAATTCTGTTTTCTAATCAAAGCAATGCATGAGGTTTTTCCTATTCCAGAAACAGATTTATACGAGTTGAGTCAACGCAAGGCAGACCAGCGGACCGGATGTCTTGGATTCAGTAGATTATTGCTGATTGGCCCGGGAATTCTTCGCATTCGGTTAGATTCCTCTTCTATTTTGTATTGACATAGTGCACATTGTAACCTTAGAAAGTCCATACAGCTATAGATCCATGCCAAAGATGGATCCCGTGCCCAGCGCCCGATAGTGAAATCAGCGACCGGGCAAAGATTGGTCGCCTAAGTAAATAGCCAAGGAAAATGCTAGTAGGCGAGATGGGTCGTGGATATGGTAGTTTGCATCTATGCGAATTTACAGCATATACGGAGAGTCTCGGAGGTGACAAGCACGCACATGGGGAAAAAGCCAAGCAAAACCCGTCCGGGGCGCACAGTCCATCCAGCACAGCCTCAACATCCAGAAGGAAAGTGCCCATGTGGGGTCTACAGTGACATAGTTGTGGAAACAGGATATAGGGAAATGGAATAAGGGAAACGGGAATAACATCATAGAACATGCCATAAAGGGGCTGAGTCTATGTAAGAATAAAGAAAATAAGCCCCAAATACGGAGTAGGTCAACAATAAAGACTAAAGACTAAGAGGTAAAAAAGGTAAAAGGTCAGAGTAGCGGAGAACAAGGGTTGATGGGCATCAAATGTCTTAGCTTCCGAGTACCGAGACCGCTTCTTTCACTATGGGCCATAGGGCTGTTTGGTGCAGACACCAGGCCCAAGGGGCGGTAACAGAAAGAAGCAGGCTAGTTCAACTTGGCTTGCATGGAACTGCATACATCATCGAGCATAGCGGGGGCCGTTTTTGGCCAGCCTCCTGTGAGCCGCAAATGAATTCAACCAACCACGATGCTTAGAGGATATGCCTGTGAGGCTCAGTACAGGGGGGTTTGCTGCACGCCTTGAAGATCACGATGACTCTACACCTTGGTGCTTTAAAAGAAGAAGAGTTGTAGTGATAAGCATAATATTGCAAGGCTAAAAAGACAATATCAAAATGAAAATCAAAATGAAAACGAAAATGAAACAAAAAAACAAAGCAGAATTGGCGCAGACCCTGGGGGAATCCAGCCCCGCTGGCCTTGCGCTAAACCAAATCAGGAACCCGCAAGTATACAAATTCTAGTCTAAACAAAAAATAAATGAAAAAGCAGATATTACACCAGGATATATGCTCATGACCCATGACCACGCTTTGCATAATAAAAAAAGCCTTCCAGAAATGAGGGAGGAAAACATCATCCAAAAAAAGCAACAGTAGAGTTCGGAATCACTATGCCGAGCCGTCAGCTTTAAGAACCACCGAAGGGCTGAGTGAGCATCGGAGTCACTTACCATTGTACTCATAGTACCCTGTCTCGGCCCGCGAGATGGCGTTTCAAAAAGTCTCACTTGACATACGTGCAATTGCTGCAGGCCATGTGGTCGCAGATCACACACTGGGGTTGGTGGTTGTGGATCTTAGGCCCGTCATTGCATGAGCAGCATATGTACATGTAGGTACCACTATTCTGCCTTGTTCCAGGTAGTGATGCTGGCGAGATGCCTGTGAAGTCGGCCCGTGGTAGGGGTCCTAAACCGGCGAGCTCCGGTACGACTATGGACATGGCTGTAGTCTTCAAGGTTGGGGTGCGAGGCAAGTCCATGGAGACAGCAGTTGGGTATGCGGAGATTGGGTTGAAGTTGTCGGAGTGGGAGTGAAGGTCCATATTGTCAGAGGCCTTCTGGGCAACGCAGCCAGCACAACGAGCCCTTCCGCACTCGATGCAGGAATCGTAAAGGGCCGAGTTGTAAGGGCCGAAGTTGCACCCGCAGCAATACCACAAAAAAGCCATTGATGTTATGGGTTGGATGGATTGGATTGATATTAGAGATAGATTGGAAAGTTCGATGAGAAGAGCTGAGTTGTTTATAGTCGTAGAGTGAGAGACGGTCTGGCTGGCCTGATACTTGGGATGTTGATTGAGTTTGAAGATGGAATTAGATTTAAAGCACGAGGATCAACGTGAACTATATATGAAGAATTCGAAATAGAAGTAATAGACCCCAGAAACGCAAGGCAGCCTGTTCTCCTAGAACAGGCTGCCTTGTGAAATCCATATCGGGTTAAGGCCAAGTTTTGGTAATTCTGTTACCCGGGCAGTTTTGGGGCGGATGGGTAAAAGTTGTTAGCTGCACATCGTCCAAGGAGAAAGGTTGCCCGAGAGAGTGGCTTAGTGTGGCCCGGGTCTCTGCTATTGCCCAGAGTCTAGAATGTAAGGAATTCTATGAATCATTTTGTGAAGACCTGGCGTTTTGAGTCAACGGGGGGTCCACTATCCAGGGCTAAGCAAATGCTCACACCGTCTGAATGGACTGGCTTACCCGGGAGAATGTATGGGCGTCAACGGGTTTTTGGTGACGCATATACGCCAGAATACCGGTCTACAATAGTGTCACAAACTCGGATTCATTTTGAGAATTGATGCCTTGAGAAAATGACTTCGATCAATTGGTTTCCAATGTGTGCCGTATACTCCACTCTTTCCAAGGTTTCCAGGCAACGGCTTCGAAAACCAAAAAGTCGAGTCATCGCATCAGGTGTTCCACGCCCTTTGGCAGTGTTGCCTAAGTCACCCAGGCCCTGGTTTTCTGACACCTGGATATTATGCAAAATCCGTTTCATCATTGTTTTGGGAACTTTTTTTTTTTTGGTGCTTCTTACGAATAACAGATTACGAGATGTGGTGGAACACGAAGGCTGATTTCCAATTTAAATTCTCACCTATGGACCTGTGGTAATTCCATACCATGTGCCTTTCTAGATACTATATTGAGCTCTATCGAGTACAACCGTACCGTCAAGGTCTAAAAAGAGATTAAAGAAATCTGACATTTCCTTAGGCCCAATCTGACGGTCGGGGCTGAGATGTATAGAATGAGTAATAGCAGAACCCAGCATTGCCCATGTCAACCTTGGAAGATGGCAGCTGAAGTAGCTGAGGTTGTTAGAAGAAGAGCAATTGTATTGGATGTGTTCCCAAGGTTCTCCCAACGCCCGATTTATGGAACCCGAACGGGAATGAACCCAGGCACACGGCTGCCCGGGATTACGTCAGGTTTGCACTGTTTGGTTCAACTTGCGACTCGATCCGGCTTGTGATCCGGCTTGTAATCCCAGGGCATTTGTTAAGATCCATGCATTTGATATTGCTGTATTGACTCCGTATATATGGCGTCTCCCGCGCAGAAGCGCGTCAACGTCATAGTATCCAGGCTCATCCCGCCCGTGTTACTCGGCGCTGTGATATACGCTTCCTATGCGGTCACAAAACCATTATGCAGTGAGTTGCGTGAATCTGGCCGCGGGCTGTTTTACCAGGAAACTAACAGTGTGAAATCAAGTCGACTATCTAATTCATCCGTTACCCTCTTATAATCGAGACCCGCGAGTCGGTGCTGGCGCCGCGATCATCGCAGTCTATTACGTCCTCTTAATCCCCATGGTCGTTTCATACTTACATCTTTATTATATTGTCCTGTGGAACCCTGGATATCTTCCCCTCGGCGAACAAAAGGTGGCAGACGATGAGAACGCAAAGCAATCGAAGCGTCATCGCGGGAAGAAAGACACACGCAAAGCGAATACGGAGAAGACATCCCAGGCAGACGCAGATGTGGAAAGAGGCTCGACCTCCACTGCTGTAGGCATCCCAATTCAGTCCGACGATGGGTTGGAGAGTTTCTACACCAAAGATGTTTTTGTTTGCCAGCCGGACGGCCGGCCCCTGTGGTGCTCTACGTGCTGTCAGTACAAGACAGACAGGGCGCACCACTGCCGCGAGTTGGGTCGCTGTGTGCGCAAAATGGATCACTTTTGTCCTTGGTATGATAATACCTGCGCACCTGACCGTAAACCTAGTATCCAGCTGACAGAATGCAGGGTTGGGGGCGTGGTGTCTGAGACATCGTTCAAATTCTTCATTCAATTCGTTGCTTATACTGCCATTTTCTGCACTTTTGTTCTTATAGTATCTGCTTATTTTACAGCAGAGATCCGACGCCAGGTGAGTTGCACAAGATACCATACCAACTCGCCGAGTGCTGGTTCCTAACGTTTCAACCAGACCGGAGGAGCAAACCCCTACTGGTGTGTCTGCATTGGACTGTAAGTGCCCACCCCCAAAAATACTAGAAAATCCTATCAACTCTGACAAAAACTACCAGGAGCGGCCTTTTCGCCTTTTTCACCGCCGGAATGACCCTGAGCTCAGTTCAAATGGGCATCTTCAACATCACAACAATCGAGAACCTAAACCGGCGCACCGCCGTCTGGACCCTCGCTATCCGTGTCCCAGAATACCTTCTCGAGCGACTCTGGGCAGCCGAGTCCCCTTGGGCCCCAACATTCCGCATGGTATCTTACCCACTCCAAACACCATCATCTCCAACCGAGCCACAAGCAACAACCCCCTCTCCGGGCGAACGGCACGTCTTCGCCATCCTCCACACACTACCGGGCGAGAATCCCTTCGACCTTGGCAGCCCATTGAAAAATCTCCAGCAGGTGATGGGATACAATGTCATTGATTGGCTGTTGCCGATCAAGCAGAGCCCATGTGCCGATCACAGTAGCATGGAGAGCTATTTTGCCATGGGGCCCGTGGTTACCCGCTTACGGCTGGAGGCTGGACTGGCCCCGCCGCCCGATAACGGGCCTGCTGTTTCACAACCCCCACATTCGGGGCATAGTCACCGGGAAAAATCTCCCAGCGATCAATAGTTCGGGGCGCTTGCTGTGCTTCGTGCTTGCTTTGGATACCTTTATAATTATTAATGGAACGGGCCTCCACTATATACACTAATGCCCTGATTTGGCTGTGTTAGGTTAGTTTATTTTCCGATAGGCCGAAGCCCCCCTGATCGGGCAACTTTAGGGCTGAATGTCACTACATACGGGCCTCCCTAGGCAGCGGTTCGTTGACCTTTTGACCCTAGAAATTTGAGCCATTGGATGGCAGACGACTCAGGCAAGGGAAGAGATTGGGCGAAAATTTGTCCTCCCAGCACAATCCACGTGTTCACGGCGTTTATTCGGTGATTTTCAATTCAATACGCATTACCACCCATATTTATACCTTGTTCCCAATCCAATGATATCATGCATTATATTGATTACTCACTCAGCTGTTTAAACTCACTATAATGACACAGTATACCTGATAGGAAAAGTTGCCCCCCCCCCCTTGAGTCTCAATATATGTAAGACAGAATTGGTAGAATGCATGCAAGAATATATGACGAAAATCCTAGAAAGCTGTCTAGGTAATGCCAGCGGGGTCCTCCACCACGTGTCAGACTCTAACAATATATTTCCCCGTTGGCAATTTTGCATGTCTTTGAATCTGCTCTTTGTGCTTCCGGTCCCCCACATAGGTCGGCTTGCTAGTAGGACACTGTAGAGAAAACGAATTCCCATTGATATTCATAATCAGTCCAGTTAACATCTGTCTCCGCCTTCCGTAGCTTAGTTTTGTTTTTCCTTGGGCTATTCCCTGTCACGGCATTTAGAATTGGTTCCTCAGTTCTCTCAATAATATCCAGTTAGACTCCCAGAGAAATCAATATTTCAATTGATCATCTATAGCACTCACAAATATAATTACTATTATCTGGGGGAAGAGAACATCTATGAGATCTACAAGGATGATACGGCATCCTTTATACATGGGGTGATATGTAGGATATATATATATCTCTTGCACTATCCCAACGTTTTCCCGATTCAAAACAAATAACTCCCGATTTATATGCTTTATATTACTCTAGTATCTGTGGCTTTTGGGCAGTCAGATCGTTCGTGTCATCAGCTCTGTGGAGGAAACCCTCTCTAGTGTGTGGCTCAAGACCCTAAGATGCAACAATGCCCCATGGCAACAAATGAAACAACAGTCCATCAAAAAGAAACAAGAAACAAGAAATATGACAACCAAAAGCGAACAAAGGAAAGGCAAAGAAAGCGCAGAAACAAAGGAAAGCGAAGAAACAAAGTAGCACCAAGACACTCAAAACATCCACGGGTAAGGACAAGTTCCCGTGGAATCTATCCCAATCTAGGGAACAGTCTCATTTTTGCAAGAGCCACACTGAGCATGCGAGCAAATAGGACATTTTCCCGATGCTAGACTGGGATTGACCATATTGTCACAATCGCAGCACCTCCACCACTCCGCCACCAGTCTCGGGGCGCCGGTAGACAGCTCGTTGGGTGTGAGCGTGAGCACAGATATGGCATCCGGGAACGGAGCTTGAATTGGTTGTGCAGGAGATATCAGCGGGCTGCTCATGGCATTGGCGTAAGAGGAATCGTTAGGCCAGGTCAATTGCCGGCCGTGCGAAAGAATGATTGGATCCTGTCCTTCGCTGTCGATCTCAATACGCGAGAACATGTTGGACATAGCGTTGGACATGGCGCTGGACATGGCGTTGGACATGGCGTTGGACCTGGTGTTGGACATAGCGTGGATAGACATGGTGACTTGAAAGTGTTGGATGGATGAATCAATTGGTGGAAGAGAGTCTGATTTGTGAGATCTTGAAGCTTTTGAATAAATTGACTGGGGGATTGGAGCTGTAGATATAGTTGTCTCAAGCTAATTCGAACTCTGATCGTGTGAAGCAGTGAGACCACCACAGAGTGACGTTCTTTATATTATTAGCAGATAGGCGCCCATAATTAGGGCCTCAACTTTACAGCATCGAAAGCCCAAGTGCAGAAGCCCCCAAAACCCGAGGTAAACAAGTGCGACTCAAACAACCCAGGAGCCACGACCTCAGTGTCCAAACCTTGACCCGGGGAGCAGAATACCCAGCGGGCAAAGAGAGACAGAAGACAGCAAACAGTAACAGGCAGTGCTTGAACAGCAGCGAAGCAAAAGCAAAGTCGAAGTAAACCATCCAGAGCAAAGAGGGCAGCGCAGCAGCATACCCGTCTATTTGACACCGGCATATTCACCCACGACCCGGGTCGTTCTCAGCCAACATTGCGCCTGGCAGCCCATGACCTGGGCACTGGGTCATAGTATTCTGCGGCCGGACTCGGGCATGCCAGAGATCTAGCAGCTTTATTCACTAGCGCTGTAAGTGACTGGGTACACACCCCCGTCAGCGGAGGTTCGGGCCATGATGGGGGTTGTAGGTACGTTACCCGCCTCCCACCCGAGGCGGGCCATCTATATTGAAAATGAGGGTTCTAACCCTTGGGTGGCCCGGTGGAGTCATATTCCGTCCCAGAGTAACCGGGTTGTTGGGCGTCTAGTTGCAGTAGCCTGAATTTGTGCGGAATCTGCGCCTCGGTTGGGGCGTCTGCCTCCAAGCCTTTCCCGCGGGTTCGAGGGTAAATTGGAACAGGGGATTCGCTCTGCTTGAGGGACTTTCTTCGCCCCAGTTCACTAGCTCTTATTAAAAATTTGCTTTGGTTAATATAGATGACATCTGCCAAGAGGGTATCTATGTGTGCTAAGCTGTTCCAGGGAAGGAATGAACCTGTGGGTGGTACAGCTGGTGTATAATTGTATAACCTCTGTGGGGGCAAGATGATGATTAAAGGTGATGGGGTCGTACTTGGTAGGGGAAAATTTATGAGATTATCTTTTTATTGGCTACGAAGCATCAAAGTACCCACGTACCACCCTGTGCCCTTATTGAACCCAGACCTGCATTTCATCGGGCCCGGTTGAAAATAGATATCTGAGTGAGATCCGTTGGGAGTTTTTGGGGCATACCCAATTGGATATTATGAAAAACGAACATAAATATTTTAACAACTTAGAACTAGTCACGGAGTAGATGCAGTGTTTTTAGTTTCTAGCCTGAAGATGGGAAATACAAGCAAACCCGTTGAGGCAGCCTTTCTGCCTAAGGCGGATAGGACCTTTGTTCCTCGCCTGGATTGATCTTCATTCTCTACTTCTCTATAATACTTCCTTGAAAAAGCTCCCCAAGAAATGGATTTTGGTGAAGTCAGAGGCCACCTTAGAATTGCCTGGATAGATATTAGGGTGGCTCCATATATGAACCCATTCCCACGCACAGCTCGAGCCAATTCCCCTAATTGCACAACCACTACTCTGTACAGAACACCTAACAAGTTAGATATGTTGTAAATTAATAAGTTGGGAGGAAATTGAGTTTGGTATAGAAAAGCGGAAGCCAGGGAATTTATCTGTGTTTTCCCTCTGTAGATTTCACCGAAATAATTTACAGTTTGTTCCCTTTGTATGATGCGGCTCAATTACCACCGAACACCCTCAAACCCACACGCATTTCAAGGTTTCGCTCGGGTGAAACGGAAATGGAAGACAGAGCCTCTTGACCGCCTGTCGGGGAGTGTTTTGCATGTAAAGCAAGGGAGGATCATAGTTAAAGAAGCGGGAACTACACATGGTATCCACGGTTGACAGTTTAGAGGTTCCAAAGGTTCACAGATTCTAGATCCATGGAATCATCTTTATATACAATTCTTGTTATTTTCCTTATTTTCTATCTATTTGTGCATTTTAAAGGTCAATCTCTTTCATCACTTTCATTTTATCCTCCGCTGTCTACCACACTTCCTTCTTGGACCAATAATTCTTAGCCCTGGAAAATCCCTTGGCATTCTTACTAAACGTTTTGCCTGACCCCAACCCACTTTTGCGTCATTGTTCACACGTTTCGTTTTAAACACACTTCTGAATCCCCTCCATTGTTGAGTTGGGCAACTATTGGGCTCTGGGATTCGTGTCAAACTCGGCCCTGCAGTCTCCTTGACTTTGTACCGAATATCTGCATCCGAGCCAACCGACTAAGTTGGGCATTTCTACAAAGCCCGACTCGGTTTCTTAAATACTCGTCTCCCGAAGCCGACCAGAGAACAGACTACTGATTTCAACAAACGCTGCCATCTTCTCTATCCACCACATCTACAGTTACATCTCAAAATGTCGGCTCACTACCGAAATCTGTCCCCCAGCCGAGGCCGACACTCCATGATTGATCCCATGAGAGCATCAACTGGCACGGTGCAGCTAAACTCCTCCTACGACTCTTATGATGCGCCTAGACGCTACGATCACGACGAATACCCATCCGATGCTGGATACACCAGTGCTTATGCGTATCGCTCAGGGCGACCATCGAAACTTGAAGCCCACCAAATATCCTCCCATCGAGTCCGTGATCCGAGTACGTCTACCAAAAAGCGCACCGAGTACACAGTCCAGCCCCGCACCAGAAACAGAAGCAACACATCAACTGCGGCAGACTACGAGACACCAGTGCGTCTAGCTGTACCTTCCACACCCCGTCAGCATCTCTCGCCCGTGCACCAGCACCACTCAACCCACCGCCGTACCCCGAGCCCTCTCCCCACAGATTCTGGCCATCATATAGTATCTGCTTCTCCTCGACACCCCGCACATCGTCGAATCTACAGCACTGACTATGCGAGTGACACGAGCTATATCGATTCACGGAATGACGTCAGACACAGAACTGATCGCAGTCCGCATCAACATCGTGTCCATCCGCCGACCCGTGCACCGCGCTATCCAGCGTATGATGGGCTGAGGAAAGGTGACGATATTGATAACTTTGATGCCTATTCATACACCAATGCCCGTGAGCAATTCGACCGGGACTATCCTGTCAAGGCGCGCCATCACGGGCCAAGATACTCGCTCGATCGGCCACTCAGCATCACTGGTGTAGAGGATAGCTCTCAGTGGATGCCGCGAAAAGAGCGTCATCATGGCCCTCCCCCGACATCCTGGGGCCTTGACAAGCTGGGCCGTGAACGGCCGCGAAGCTCAACGCATGGCATGGATGACCATCGGGAGTCGTACAGATCGAAGGATGGATTCCATGATCAAGCCCTAGTGACCGTGCCTCAAGACTCTGATGCTGAATATTCCTCCCGACACGACGAGCGGCGGCGCCGCCGTGCCTACAGAGCGCGCCACGCGAACGATCGGGAGCACCACTATCCAGAGGGACACCACCCCAAGCCACATGAAATGGGGGCGCTCGCTACTGTAGGACTTGGAACAGCGGCCTTAGGAGGCGGATACTCCGACATGTCGGACTACGAGCACCACCGTCCGTCACGATCCAAGCAGAGACGCCCACATAGTGAGCATGACCACGATGCTGTGCAGCCCCCATCGCGGGATCTGGTAGAAGCAGTTCCAGCCAGTGAAAGAAATAAGCAAACCTACCTGGATCCTGCTGACGCCCGTCGCCACGGTCGACCGCGGCGACACTCCAGACGGCGGACGCACAGCGATGACGCCAACACGTCAGACGAAGACCTTCGAAACTACAGACGTGAGCCCGCACGTCATAGACACAGCAGCACCGACACCGAAAGTGACCGCGACCGTGATCGCAGTCGGGACCGCTCGCGTCACAGGCGAGACCGAGATCATTCGCGTGGATACCACTCTTCTCGCTCCCGCCACATGCTGGAGGATGGCCATTCCACTGAGCGACGATCACCGCCCGTCGACATGGCCAAAGATGACCCCAAAAGACTTATTGCTGTCGATCCGGCTGCTCCAAAGGAGCCTGATGCTCCTCCCAAGGGAATCCTCAAGGCTCCGCGCCAGGCATTCCCAGAGGAACCCAATCCGGTGAGGGAAGGGGTCGCTCCTCTGAAAGACGCTCATAAGCAGGGAATCCCGCCAGGAGCTCGATGGACGAAGATCGACCGGCGTCTCGTGAACCCGGAGGCATTGGAAGCGGGCAATGAACGGTTCGAGGAGCGATCGGACTATGTGATTGTGTTGAGGGTTCTGAGCAAGGAGGAGATCCAGAAGTATGCTGTGAAGACACAGGAGATCAGAGGTAAGTCATGCTGCTATATTTCTTACAGTTGCACTTGAAGTAAAATACTCACAATTGAATTGCACAGACACCCGGCACAAGGAACAGCTGCGCGAGAGACGCAAGACCAGAGATGAGACTCACCGTCACGGCCGCCGGGGCGAGGAGACTTCCAGCGACGACGAGGACGAGGGCGAGGAAGAGCCCTGGAAGCAGCTCGAAGCAGCACCCGCACCACCCGCACAGAAGATGTCCTTACCCTCGCGCCCACGCGCGTCGACCAACTCAATGCATGAGGCTGAACGGCCCAGGATTAGTAACCCGTCTGCAGCACCGGCATAGGAGAATCTTCCAATTGCCTTGAGACTTGGATATGCTTCGCGGGGCGAATCAGCATCAAGCCCGCTGAAACCACAATGGGGGTTCGAGCAGGTGCACGGGGGCGAGGAAAGCCATCGGTTCTCATGTTGGCCCTAGCAAATGTAACTAATGCACCTATCCTTCTGGGGACGAATACCATGCGACAAGCCCCCTGCAGGCAAAAGCAAGCGCCCGCCCAATTTATGTACCTTCCAAGGTTCTCCGTATAAACCGCGTCTCAAACTCGAGTCATATCTTTTCCTCTTCCGGGTTATTTCAGGCTTACACCGCCTCCAACACCACAATCCATGACTGCGTATGCACTCCGCTCCGTACGGAGTACATACCTGTCATATTGTTTGACAGCACGTCCAAGATCAACAATGCCTGCACATGCAGCGCAACACGCCGCTAGAATCTTTCCGGCCCAATCAAACACCGGCGTCTTTGTTTGCGGAACCCAACGATGATCGGTCGCTAGGCCACCCGCGCCAGCGCCCAAATCCATCCATAGCGACCCATATTGGCCCACATCCAACATGGCCCAGGCTCCGAGTCGCGCGGCTCATTGGATGGATTGGCGTGACAATACTTTCCGTTCTCGCATCTGATTTTTCAGCTTTTGTGTCACTCTCATTTCTTTCTAGATTGATACAATGGGGGTCTGCCGATGTAGTCATGTTATTACATTATTTGAGGAGAGGGAAAGAAGAAAGAAGGAATCTGCAGCTGGGCATCCCCACTTCTAGATGTTTACTTCTTTCGTTGCGGTATGAATGTCTGCACCTATCGAGAGCACGAGAGCGCTAATGAAACGCAACTCAAGCGCCCTTCCTAAAAGCGTAGGAGGGTAAGGTCAAAAAGCAAATAAGAGTGCCACGCAACCACAATTGTATCAGAACGCAATGATTTCTTTTTTCCCTCCTTTTTTTTCTAAGTATAAACACGGAGTACAGAGTAGAGTACGGAGTAGTGTCTATCTACCCCCACCGGGAACATCCAACAGCGCCTAAATCCCAACCCTCCCATTTCACGGCTGATCACCGAAGAAAAAGAAAAGAAACCACCAATCCAATTGAGGAAGTCAACTCGAGAAAAACAAAAGTAGAAATAAAAAAGGGGGGGAGAGAACACTTAGATTATTGTTGTTGCATAGTGGCTGCAGGTTCTAGACACACGCCACTGGCAAACATTTGAGGATTTTCTGCGTTGATGTCGGATTTGACCGGTGCACTTCTCGTGATAGTGGAAATTGACTGATTGTAAATGAGGCATAAAAAAAGAAGATTGTATATCTACAGATTTCTAATCAAGTCCTTAAAGCCCCGTATATCCGGAGTAAATAGTCCCAAATTGATACCTTGTCCACCTGGCCTCGAGATTATACTGTAAAGGGATAATGAACTAATGAACTACCCCTCCCCTGTTCAAGGCTTTGTACTAGCTTGCAATTTGCCCGGGGGAACATAGTGATAATAGAGTAAATATAGGTTGGGATGGGCGTACCAACATTTAAGACCTGTGGTTATAAATATACATTGCATTCCTAGTATAAATATAGGTACAAGTTATCTAAGTGTTCATAACCATATTATCCCGTATTGTACTCCGTACTCGGATATTGGCTACCGAAACAGTTATAGTATGTTTAGAGATTTGATAAAATCAGGGACATACAATGTTCTCATCACATCCAAGCCATAAGTCGCCGAGACCGAGGCTGATAAAGGCTGATTTATCCTACGCCATATACGTATGGTATATGCGGCATTTAATATGCCGCATATAAACAGGAAGACCAAGAACCAGTGTAATAGTGTATGTTGTAGAGCAACACTGATACGCTGCATACTGTACGGGAGTATACGATATACGATGATGCACTATTACTGTGGAGACAGCCATCTGGATGTGAAATCACATCCGATTTGAGGACCCCAAATCTGTGGAGTTAGCCGTTGCCTGTTAATGGATGGCGATGGAAACCCGGGTAGCAATCTAGGTATGTGCGAGTCATGATTGTGGCGAAGGGAGGGGGAAATAGGGGAGTCCACCTGGGGAAAAGTAGCACCACAGCGTATGATAGTAGACAATAGTATGAGCTAAAAGTTGACCTTGAAATCTAGAAAGTCGATCTCCATAATGAAAATCAAATCAAGGAAGGTGGAGAGAGAGCTTGTTTCCAGACCCAGGGCTTTTGGGTCCGTGTGCTTGGCTGTCGGGATGGATCTTGCTCGGTACATGGGTTTGGATTCGACTTATTAGATTGTATACCTTAGGGCAGGGAATTGTCCAATCTGGTTTCTTTCCCATGAATTGTCCATATACAGTGCTTACCTCCGTTGTGGAGATGAAACCTAAGAGAACGTGCCGATCCTTCGATCTTTCTAACGTCAGAATGTGATTTCTAATTTCCCATTCTTCTCTCGTATACTCCGCAACTCCGGATTCCATATGGGGAATCTCCGGATTGATTACGATATCAGCCAAACCGCCAACGGGTTACGGGATATAGTTTGGCTGAAGTAATTTTATATTGCTATTTACGCCTTCAACGGACAAAAAAAAAATCAAGATTGGTTGAATGGGTGCAACCCTCCTGAATTCGTCTAAGATCGTCGTGGCACATGGGGGCAAAAGCCAAAAAAAAGCAAACACAAACGCGCTCACTTGACCCCCCTGCCTCCGACATCTTGACACATCTGACCTTAACCCCGATTTGTCTCATTGGATTGTCAATGGGGCCGGGGGGGGGGCGACGAGGGGGGGCAAGGGGGGACGAATTAGTTGCGATCGAGTGATTCAGTGCTTATCATTGATATACGGGCTTATTATAGGACAAGGAAAGCGACAATTTCGGGGTTTATGTTATTTCCCGGGGCCTCTGACGTAGGCTACATGGGATAGCTACGATCTAATGCAACATACGGCAAATGACAATCACGATTAAACGGTGCAGTGTGCATATCAGTTGATGCGGTCTCCGTATAATGCCAAGTATAGGACCGGTGTATGGTAATTGTCATCCTCCCCGCCATCTCTGCAGCGATCAGCCTCGAAAATGTCCATGTCTGTCATAGATAATGAATATGTACCCTTTTTTTTGGATTTTTCTCCCCAACTCCCAACTTGAAGATAGCACAAAGACTCTGAAACAATTCAACTGCCACGCGATGTGCTACTCCGCCCACATGCATATCTTAACACTTTCTTCCACATGGGATGGCTCACAAAGTTTTGCAGTTTGCGGTGAGAACTAGGTAGCTTTTGAGTATTTTGGCTTTGACTTATGGTTCAGGCTAGAAACTTTTTCGAAAAGGGTTCAATGAAACAGTGGAGAGAGAGTGTGTGTGGAAGAGATGAAACACATGTAACGACTATGACCACATATCGCAGTTGCAACTGGAATTACTCATGGAATCTGCATGTGCTTTACCACCATATATTTTTTATTGGATGTAAATGAGACAATCCTCCAAAATAATATTATTAGGTCGGCCCCCGGGTTATGATCTTTCCCCGATTATTCCCCACGGCTTTTAGCGGCTGGGGTCGGAGGAAATACGGAGTACACCGGTGTGATGACCTTCAGATTGTGTCTCTTGGCTGTACAAAGTACGTTGAGAAAGAAGCGAAAGCTCGGCTAAACATGATTTTTGTTTTAAAAATTTACTCGCACGTTCTGAGCTCCATTCTTCGGATCCGGATGGTGGGGCCGTTAAACGATCTATCGAACTAGGTATGTGTCGCGTCTACTCCGTACCATTCTCAGAATTATAATATAAGAGATGGGAACGATGAACGAGTTCGAAGAGAGCCGAGGCGATTCAAGGCTCTTATTATGACACGGTTATCATTTCCTCTTCTCGGCGCCATCCCGCTTGGTCCGTTTGGGCCATATCCGTATTAGGGTGATCCGGAGTGCGGAGAATGTTTTATTTTATTTTTTTCTTTTGATTTGATTGACATCAGCCTGTAAATTTTGGTATAGTAATATACAGAGTAATATAATAAAAAGTGCGGTAGATTCTTCAAGGAATTGAAGCCGTTGACAGCCCTGTGGCAGATCATTGTAGACTAAGCAGACTAAGCAGGGAGGTCAATATCCGCATGGACGAAAGACCAGGGTATGCCAACTTTAATTTAGGGGCAGTCAAATCTCAAATGTCAGAAATAAATATTTTCAATTGTTAAATGGAGTGAATCAATATCCAAACGGATCCATGAAACAACGCCTGCCAAGTGGCCAAGAACTATCAAGACTTCAATTTGATTCCCTTGTACATGCTCCGTACACTATAGCCCGACCCGCGATCTACTAGATTGTGGCTTATAGCCCAGTGTCCATTGGTGTTCCATGTTCACATATATTCGGGGCCGAGCGTTCATATTGAGTGATCGGACATATCGGTTTCGACATCTTGCCGAGCTCCGGTATGTATCTCCCCGGAGTTCGGAGTGGCTTGTTCATGGAAAATTTCTCGCAGGAATCCAAGCTAGTTCTAGAGGTGAAAGGGGGAAAGACAGCTCGCCTGCATTACTATGTCTGCAAGAAGTAAGGGTTACAGCCCCCTCCCCCTAGGCCAACGTGGATGTCGGTACTTCTTCAAACTTGAGTCTGCATCAATTCTCTTGTGTCGATCATAAAACAAAGAATCAAGCGACGAAAAGATCACGGAGGACTCGTCCCGGATATTTCTGTTTCGGGGGTTCAATCCCCGAGAGGTGAATACAACCTACGGGTACGAAGTACATGAGCTCTATCTACTTGCAGTAGTCACCCGGTTGGATGTTGGCGCTAGATGGCGCGTTTGAACTATATCCGCAGAGAGCATTAGCCATTTCACTTAGTTCAAGCCACATTTTGACAAAGTAACCATCCCACCTGGGCAGCTTCTCTTGCTTGATCGGGTTTAGGGTTTAGTTTTCCCGCATAAGAGATGAAAAACAAAAAGGCCCAATTTCAAACAGTGTCACCTTTC